CTGGGGCCAGGAGGCTCGGTCTTCCTCGTCGTTAGGCGCACGGCGCGGGATGAAGCCTTGGGTGCCCACGGAGGAGGCGGCGCCCGGGCCTGGGTTGGGCTGCCCCGCGCCGACCGGGGTGCAGCTCAGGGACGGGACACGGGCCTGGGCTTTGGGACCCGCGTGATTGGGCAACACAGACGACGGCTCCGCTTCCCGCCTGCCGGGGGGAGGGTGGGGTCGCCTCGAATTCCCCGGTCTTAGCAGCCTAGACGTCCTGGAAGAAGGAGCAGGGGTGGAGAGGCTGGGCCTGGAGCCCCGGGGCCCACTTTCTGTTGCTCCACAGGGAGCTTGCTAATTGGGGTGTGGGTGGGCGCGGCGTGCCCAGGGGATTTGGCATCTGGGGAGGTGAGTCATAGGTGCACCTGCAAGGTTCACCTGCAGCCACTTGGCACGGTGGCCCGGCGGGTGTGGTGCACCCCACACCGTGTTTGGAGGTCATTCATTTCCCCCCCTCCCTCCCATCAGATGGGCAGGGCCTGCGGTCTGGCGCCTGTAAAAATGGGAAGGCAGCGCACACTTCTATTCTTGTGCTTGGGAATGTCGTCGTCTGTGCCTGGTTCTCCTGGCCCCTTCCCCGCGGCCCCACGCGCAGGGATAGTGTGGGGACCACAGGCAGGTTCAGCTCTGCTCTCACAGGGCCAACAGTCTGGTAGGGGGATGGACCCAAAGTGGGCGAGGAGATGGAACAAGTTTTAAACTCACCTGCTGTCAGAAGTGCTCAGAAGGATGCAAAGGGCTGAGGACCTGAGGTTAGAGAGGCAGAGGGAAGGGCATCCTGAGAATGGGAGCCGCTGGCGCAAAGGCCAAGAGGTGGGAGCATGTTTGGCCCTGGCTGGGTGGAGGAGCTGTGAGACCACTGGTGGGGGTGGGGGAGATGATGGAGGGGTCGAGATGACTGTTTAGGAGGTGGGAGCTTTCTTGTTGATGTTGAGTCTTCTCTGTGAAATGCTGAGTTACGCTTTGGGTTCCTTGACGCGGATGCAGAGAGATCCAAGGACACTTTGGGTGGTTCTGAGTCTCCAGGCTGTTGCACTGGGGGGCAGGTTGAGGGGAGGGGCTGGGATTGCTCCTACTGCCAGATGCTAGTTACTGAACTATTCTGGGAACAGAGGAGCCCAGCTGATTCCCTGCCTCACTTCTCCTGCCCCCCTTCCCCCCAACAGGCATCCGGTCTTGGGACATTGACCCTGGCATTTGCAGCCTTGATGAGCAGCTCAAGGTTTTCGTGTCCCGGCACTCCGCCACCTTCTCCAGCATTGTGAAAGGTGAGACTGGAGACCCTGCATGCCTCAGCTGCTCCCCTTCCACTCATTCATTGGGCAAGTGTTCTCTGAGTGCCCACTATGTGCCAGGCATGGGGGGTCAGGTATCACTGTAAACAGCAGTAATAATATAGCTGCGATCTACAGTGTGTGGAGCAGGGGCGGGCCCTGACCCGGCGCTGACTCCCTTGGTCATCAACTCTACACGAGACAGGACCTCGTGTTTTGTTACCATTTTGCAGATGAGGCAGCTGAGGGGTGGGGGACAGGGCGACCTCCAGGAGTGGGTTCTTTGGATGAGAGGCATCTGGGACTGGTGTGTCAAGTGGAGGGAAGGGCCCAGGCAAAGTGAGAAGATATTTGGAAAGTGAGGGGCTGCTGAGTGGGCCTGAAGGGTGGAGTGTGGGCCCTGTGTGGCAGGGACTGTGTCTGGCTCGTGGCTGTGAGCCCCGTACAGGGCTGGGTGTACAGTAGGTGCTCAGTAGATGGGGAGCTGGGAAAGGAGCAAGATCAAGGCAGGGTTCGGGATGCCTCGGTGACCCACCGCACAGAACAGCTGCTGGGCGGATTCCACGTGTCACCCGCAGCCCCTCTTGCTTCAGCCAGCCTGTTGAGTCAGCCCTAGGCTGCTGCAGGAGGGGAAGGAAGTGTCCTTTGCCTCATTGTCCTAGCCATTCCTGGTGGCTTCCTGACCCCTCACAGGATTGAGGGGGCAGGGGCTGGAAATCCCGTCTGCTCTGTGTGACGGTAGCAGCTCCTTCCTCTCTGTATGCCTTAGTTTCCCCACCGGAATGAGGCCATGTCTGTACATGATAATAAGGATGTGATAAACTGATAAAAGGTTGATCAGTGCCAAAAGGTCCCCAGCCTCAGGCCTGGGGCTCCATTTTTGAAACATCTGGGCTCTGGGGGGCAGACCAGGGTTCAGATTGCAGAATCACCCCCACTCCCTTCTTTGTGGCCCAGGAGGCCTCCCTGCCCCCGTGCTCCCCTCATTCTGGCCTCACCTACCACTTCCTGATCCTCGTATAGTCCTGCCTCAGAGTCCTTTCCCATGTCTGACCTCTTCCTGGTGTGCCTTGTTGGTCCTCCCTGGGCTCAGGCTTCTTGCCTATAAAATGGGGGTGATAGTGCCATCCACCGTAGGGCTGACTGCTGTGAATTGGGGCCTGTGAGCCGTGGAAGCCTGTTGTCCCTGCTCTTTCCAGTGTGAGGCCTGCCAAGGCAGGTTTCCTGTTCTTGCCTCATCCTGACCTGCAGCTCCACCATGTGCCTGTTGATCCTCAGATAACCCCTGGCTGGGGTTCCCGGGAAGCAGAGTCCTGGAGGGGCTTGTGACTGCCTGGAGTCACATAGGAAGGCAGGGTTCAACACTGGGACAGCCCGGCCCCATGCACATGGCCCAGCCCCAAACTCACTGCGCCCGATTCCCCTACAGGCCAGCGGAGCCTTCACCACCGCGGAGACACCCTGGAGACCCTGGTCCTCCTGAACCCATCAGACAAGTCCCTATGTGACGAGGTAGGGAATAGTCCTCTCCTGGAGGGAGCAGGCTGCTGGGACTGGCGCCCTCCCAAGCCTTGCCTTCCTGCATCCCTGGCTTTGTGCTGTTTGAAATCCTCTTGACACTCACTAGCATCGCCCCCTCCTTCAGGAGACCTCCCCAGATGGCCTTGGCTGCAGCTTATTCCCTCCTCAGCGGTGATGGTGGGAGCGGGTAAAGTCTGGAAAGACTGGAGTTTGGGAGGAAGGAATGGAGCAGGGAATGTCTGGAGGCAGGAAGATGGGACTTGACTGGTGTTTGCGTCTTGTGCCTCCCTCCTGACTGGGCCCCAGGAGCTGTCTGAATTGACTTCTTTTTTTTTTTTTTTTAAAGATTTTATTTATTCATTTGAGACACAGAGATACAGAGAGAGAGGGAGAGCATGAGCAGTGGGGGGAGACAGAGGGAGAGGGAGAAGCAGGTTCCCCGCTGAGCCAGGAGCCTGACGTGGGGCTCGATCCCAGGACCCTGGAATCATGACCCGAGCCGAAGGCAGACGCTTAACCATCTGAGCCACCCAGGCGCCCCTGAATTGACTTCTTAATACTTGTAGCTTGTGGACATCTGTGTTTTTCTCGCAGTTATCCATGGGAAAGATGAACAAGATAGGGTCCCAGGACCCCCCTCTAGAGACCCTTGTACAGGTTGATTCCTCTGATCAAAAATGCTCCATTTTGTTTCCTCGGGGAGCTCTGAAGGTGATAGAGCCAGACACAGATACTCTCCTCCCCATGGCATTGAGGCTGGGCCAGAGAGACAAGTGGACTGGAGGGAGTCCAGAAAAGTGAGCTTCTAGGAAGAGGAGGCACTGGAGCCTGGCTTTAGGTTGAGCAGCAGGAGTTTGTCTGGGGTGGGGTGCAGGGCTCAGGGCCCAGAGGGTATCCTTCCAGCCTCCTGTTGAGTAGTGGGCTGGGGACAGGGGTGGGGTGGTTGTATGTAGATTTGGGGTTGGAGGCCATTCCAAGGGGGGGTGCAGGCTTTGTCACTGCACAGAGTAGGGGCTTTAACCGTCTCCCCTTCCCCAGCTCCGGAATCTTCTGCTTGACCCTGCCCCTCACAAGCTGCTGGTGCTGGCTGGGCCCTGCTTGGAAGAGACAGGGGAGCTGCTACTCCAGACAGGGGGCTTCTCGCTCCGCCACTTCCTCCAGGTCCTAGGGGACAGAGAGGTAAGTCCCCTCCTCTTCATCCTGCTTCCCCTGGCTCTGAATCCTGGCTTGTCCGCATAAGGCTGTGTGGCCCTAGTGACCTGCCCCCCACCAAGTCCCATCGCCTCTTCTGTGGAACGGTCCCTTTTGTTGTTGGGGCTCAGTTCCCTTGCCCACTGCAGTGTGTGGTTTGAGGCTAGGCCTGTAGATCAGCAGACCTCCCAGAGACTTCAAGTGGCACCCCAGGTTCTAGGTCCCAGCAGGGTAGGGTCCTTTCTAGAGTCCTTAGTCTGGGTGGGGCAAATGAGCAAAACTCTGGTAAACCACCTTTTCACATTTATGAGAGTGATGGAGTGATGGGTGAGATAAGAACCAGATGCGGAGGTAGGGGACGTGGAAAGTCTTCTCTGGAGGGAGCTGTGCTGTAGGAAGAGAACAGCAAGTGCAAAGGCCCTGGGGCAGGGAGAGTAAGAGAAAGGGTAGGGGAGGGAAGCAGGTGGTGAGGCAGGACCGTACGTCTGTGTGGACCATGGGGAGGGCTGGGTTTTGTCCTAAGGGTGCCGGGGAGTGGGCAAGGGATTCTCCCAGGCCCCGGAGGCTTCTAACCATTACCCTCTTCTGCAGATCCGGGATCTCCTGGCATCCACACCCCCACCTGCAGACCTGCCCAAGCTCACCATCACCTGCCCGACCTTCGGCGACTGGGCCCAGCTGGCGCCTGAAGTGCTCGGCCTCCACAGCGCGCTCCGGCTGCAGTGGAACCCGCCCGTGCAGCTGCCGGCGTCCGAGGGCCTGCGCGAGTTCCTGGAGTATGTGGCCGAGTCGCTGGAGCCGCCGTCTCCCTTTGAGCTGCTCGAGCCGCCGGCGTCCGTGGGCTTCCTCAGGCTCGCCCGGCCCTGCTGCTACATCTTCCCCGGCGGCCTCGGCGACGCCGCCTTCTTCGCCGTCAATGGTTTCACCGTGCTGGTCAATGGTGGTTCCAACCCCAAGTCGAGCTTTTGGAAGCTGGTGCGGCACCTGGACCGGGTGGACGCCGTGCTGGTGACCCACGCGGGCGCCGACAGCCTCCCGGGCCTCAACAGTCTACTGCGGCGCAAGCTGGCAGAGCGCGAGGAGGCGGCGGCCGGCGGAGGGTCTGGGGACGACCGGCTTCGCAGGCTCATCTCCCCCAACCTGGGGGTCGTGTTCCTCAATGCCCGTGTTGCCGCCTCGCGTCTGGTGAGCGGCGAGGACGAGGCGGAGCTGGCCCTGAGCCTTCTGGCCCGGCTGGGCATCACACCGCTGACTCTGAACCGCGGGCCACTCCCGGCCGAGCCCACCGTGCTCTTCCAGAAGATGGGCGTGGGCCGGCTGGACATGTACGTGCTGCACCCGCCCACGGCCGGGGCCGACCGCCCGCTGGCCTCCGTGTGCGCTCTGCTGGTGTGGCACCCCGCGGGCCCCACGGAGAAGGTGGTGCGCGTGCTGTTCCCTGGCTGCACCCCGCCCGCCCGCCTCCTGGACGGCCTGGTCCGCCTGCAGCACTTGGGCTTCTTGCGGGAGCCCGTGGTGACCCCCCAGGACTTGGTGGGGCCTCGACGAGCCGAGAGCAAGGAAAGCGTGGGCTCCCGGGACAGCTTGAGAAGAGAAGGCCGGACGACAGCACCCAGCAGGCCGGCCCAGGAGCGCCCCGGGGTGGCCCGGAAGGACCCGCCTCGGGTTGAGGCCCCCCGCAGGGCTGAGAAAGAAGCCAGGGTCCCCCGGGAGGTGAAGAAGGACCCCAAGCCCAGCATCCCCCGGACCCAGCCCCGGGAGGTACGCCGGGCGGCGTCTGCTTCAGTGAGTGTGAAGAAAGCGGGTGCCCCGGCCGCCCCCAGACCCCGCAGAGCACCCAATATCCCCCAGCCAGGGGTCCCGCCGGCAGAGAATGGGCCCCGCAGCCCCCCTACCTTCCGGTGTGGAGAGGCCAGCCCCCCAGCAGAGACCTGTAGTTCCCCAGCCCCCCAGCTGGTGGCCACACCCAGCCAGGAGAGCAGCCTGGAGCTGGGGCTGAGCCCGGCCGGGGAGGACAGCAGCGCCTTGGAGGAGAAGGCGCTGGAACTGCTTTTGGATGCCAGCACCCCCCGGCCACGCACACCCTCGCCTCCCGGAGCCCAGCAGGGCCCGGCTGAGGGCAGCGGGCGGCTGTCGCTGAGCCCGCTGCGCGGCGGGGAGGCTGGGCCAGATGCCTCCCCCACAGTGACCACGCCCTCGCTGCCCGCTGAGGTGGGCTCCCCGCACTCCACGGAGGTAGACGAGTCCCTGTCCGTGTCCTTCGAGCAGGTGCTGCCGCCGCCTCCGGCCACCACGGGCGAGGCGGGGCTGAGCCTCCCACTTCGTGGCCCCCGGGTCCGGCGCTCGGCCTCCCCGCACGACGTGGACCTCTGCCTGGTGTCGCCCTGCGAGTTCGAGCACCGAAAGGCTGTGCCCGTGGCGCTGGCGCCTGCATCCCCCGGCAGCTCCGATAGCAGTGCTCGGTCCCAGGAGCGGGCCGGCGCTCCACGGGCTGAGGAGACGCCACCCACGTCCGTCAGCGAGTCCCTGCCCACCCTGTCTGACTCAGACCCCCTGCCTGCCGCCCCCGGCCCTGCGGACTCAGACGAGGACACGGAGGGCTTTGGGGTCCCTCGCCGCGACCCCCTGCCCGAGGCCCTCAAGTTCCCCCCGCCGCTGCCCACCCCACCCAGCATCTGCATGGTGGACCCCGAGATGCTGCCCCCTGAGCAGGCCCGGCTGACAGAGGGCCTCAGCCGTACCCGGAAGTCCCTGGCTCGCCCTAACGCCAGCACAGCCGCCTCCAAAGCCACTCCAGCGACCACTGCCAAAACCAGGGGACTGGCTGGAGGAGACCGGGCCAGTCGGCCGCTCAGCACCCGGAGTGAGCCCGGTGACAAGGGAGGTCGGGTGCCCCTGTCCAGAAAGTCCTCAGTCCCCAAGACGACCGCTCGGGGCCCCTCTGGTAAGTACCCAGGAGCTGGAGTCCTATGGTGGGTTACTGGCCCAAGTCTTTGTTCCCTACTTGCTGTGTGGCCTCAGCCACACCTGCCACCCTCTCTGGGCCTCAGTTTCTCATATAAAACGGAAGTTCTGGTTCACCATTCAGGCACTTGTAAGTCTGAGGCATTCAAGCAGTGCCGTCGGGGGAAACATAAAGTGAGCATATCTGTCCTCCTGAACTTGCTGTGGTGACAGTACATAACAAGAAACAGGTGAAATTAATTTTATTTTATCTATTTATTTATTTGATAGAGAGACAGCGAGAGAGGGAACACAAGCAGGGGGAGCGGGAGAGGGAGAAGCAGGTTTCCCGCTGAGCAGGGAGCCCGATGCGGGGCTCGATCCCAGGACCCTGGGATCACGACCTGAGCCGAAGGCAGACACTTAATGACGGAGCCACCCAGGCATCCCTACTTTATTTTTTTAAAGATTTTTATTTACTTATTTATTTGACAGACACAGCGAGAGAGGGAACACAAGCAGGGGGCGTGGGAGAGGGAGAAGCAGGCTTCCCGCCGAGCGGGGAGCCCGATACGGGGCTCGATCCCAGGACCCTGGGATCATGACCTGAGCCGAAGGCAGACACTCAGTGACTGAGCCACCCAGGCGCCACGGTGAAATTAATTTTAATAGTATATTTAATCCCTTTGTGCAGAGGTTTCCAAGCCCACCACCACCAGGTTGGATGCTGGGCTGGGACGACTAGGTATACTGCCCTCCTTGTGGCTGAACTGTATTAGAGCATAAAACATATGGAACAGAATCAGCGAGGGCAAGAGGCTTGGGGTGTGGGGGGGTGGGGCGGGGAGTCCCTAGAGGGAATCCAGGCACAGGCTTCTAGAGCTGCCTCCCAGCGTAGTCACACCATGTGCCTTAATGCCAGAGCAGTGAACCGCAATGACCCATGGGAGGTGGTGCCTCCCAGGGAGGCTCATTAGAGACTGGAGTGCCCAGGATTTCTAGTGGGGGCTGGGCACGTTGTCCCCCTCTGCCTGACATGCACCCAAATTCCGGGATTCTCAGAGAGGGGGAAGCAGGGCTTCAGCAGGAGCCGCAGCGCTGCAGGACCTGGGGTGGGGGTGGGGGGGCAGCGAGCCACCCTTGCGCAGGCAGTGGGGACCTTTCTGAGATCTAAGTCCCCCAGACTCCAGCCAGGGGCCGCCCTGTAAGCCGACTGTCAGGCTAGCAGTCTTGGGTATGCCGTGGTAACTTTTCTCCCGGTTTCCCTTAGTTGTGATGAAATGTACACGACATGACGTCACCGTAGCCATTCCTAAGCACGCAGTTCAGCATTAAGCGCACTCGTGTTGTGCAACCATCACCGCCATCCCTGTCCAGGGCTCCTTTTATCTTGCAAAACTGAAACTTTGTCCCCATTAAACACTAACTCCCATTCCTCCTCTCCCAATCCCCAGCACCCACCATTCCACTCTCTGTTTCTAGGACCCTGATGATGCTAGGGCCCTGTGTAAGTAAAATCCTACTATATTTGTCTTATTTCATTTAGTAGAATGTCTCCATGGTTCATCCATGCTGTAGCCTGGGTCATAATTTTCTCCCTCCCCCCCCACTTTTTTTTAAGAATTTCCTTCCTTTTTAAGGTTGAATAATACTCCGTTATGTGGATGCACCGTATTTTGCTTATCCATTCACCCGTTGATGGACACTTGAGTTGTTTCCACCTCTTGACTACTGTTGAACCACGTTGCTGTGAACACGGTTTGACAAATATCTTTTGGAGATCTTGCTTTCAACTCTTTTGGGTATATTCCCAGAAGAAGGATTGCTGGATCAGATGGTAATTCTATTTTTGATTTTTTTTCGAGGAACTGCCATACTGTTCCACAGCGGCTGCACCCTGTCCTCCCACCAACAGTGTAAAAAGGTTCCAATTTCTCCACATCCTCGCCAACACTGTTTTCTGATTTTTTTTTTTTTTTTTGATAGTGGCCATGTGATGGGTGTGAGGTGGTATCTCATGGTGGTTTTGATTTGCATTTCCCTGATTAGTGAGCATCTTTTCATGTACTGTTGGCTATTTATATATAT